ATATCGGATAATTTCACGAGAAGGCAATTACGAAAGCTGGTTAAGCATTGACCTTACCAATTGTTGATCGTGTCATCTTCAGCAAAAAGATATTTATTTCTCTTTAAATCTCCTTTTTCGTGCCACCGCATACGCAGCAAAAAGGTTTAGATGGACGCGGGCAATTTACAGATCTATCAAGAAGCGATTATCGATGACTCGCCGATGACTCGATTCTTTGGATCGTGGGGAATCGCTCTATCGAGGGGGGGATCGTAGATCGATCCTGTAACATTGTGAGTCACGTCTTTGCGGCCCGTTTAATTCCGTGGCAAGAAACGAGAATGGGCGTATCGAATCTCGACGAAGTAGTCATCGTAACCAGAGCGAAAGCATTCTGAATATCGTTGCGGCGGGCGCTATTGTTGTGCAACGAGAGACGAGTCAGACCTATCCCAACGACCGCACGACGGGCATACAGGAACGTATTTATATGCGAATAGAAAAACGTAACAAAATTTTAAATTTTTAGATTTTAAATAAATAATATATATGTAGCTCTTTCTCTCTCCCTCCCTTTCTCTTTCAGTGTAATTTAATAATAGCAGATAACAGAAATGAAAAAAGATATAAAATATCAATATTATTTCATAATTAATTCTTATGTAATAACCAAAAGATTACAATGTCAACCTTTCTCAGATCTCTTATTATAGATTTAATTGAACGAGTATTAAAGCGGTGGAAGACATAAATCCGCCCCTGTGCAGGTATTCTTCCAGCGTTTTCGATTAGTCACGGCATATCGAGTACTCGAAACCCATTCGCCATGGGCCGTCGAGTTGAAATCCCGCCAATAAAAGGAACTCGGAGTGCGTTACGCATCGAACTAGCCCCCTGGCCGAGGTGTCTAAAAGAAAGTGTTTTAAAGATTTGATGTCGGATAAGCGTCCATCACATTGGTGGATCCTTCGGACCCACAGCGGTGTGTATCTCGAGTTTTTGACACTGACAGACAAACGGACAAAGCGACAATAGCTCGTTCCTGGCATGAAGTTGAACGAATTCCGTCAGAATGACAATCAGTGATACAGCGTTGCGCAATGAAACATTATCTGTCAAGCAAAAAGAGGCACACGGTTCTCCAAACGATTTGGTGAATCATAAATTTAGACTCAGAGAAGAGAACGGGAAGATTGCCATTGATATCAAATTGAAATAAGTTGAAATGTATTTTCTCAGATAATTCATTTCGTTATCATATTCGCATTGTGCGCACTGCGCGTTCCTGTATACGAAGTTAAACATGCAACGCGGAAAAGATTTCACTTTATTAGCGCCTTTTCTCTCTCTTTTTCTTGTCTTGATGTTTAAATTTTCACTGGTAATTTCGTCAAGACGTCGAACAATTTTTCGTAAAAATAGAGACACGCCGTTTTCGTTTCTGCACAGTGCTCGGAGGAGTATTTTGCAGATGGCATCTTCGATACTATCGCGCGAGGCATTATGAAGATTTACAGTTATTCGAGTAAGCGGAACGACGGCGTATTATATACTCAAGATTCTCAACCACGGAACCCCCGCGGTGTCATACGCTATCGAGATATCATCGAAGCAGAGCGAAGCGCCAAGGCGTGCACTACTGATATTCTCGTATCTATTATGCATCTTTCTATGTCAATTTCCATAATCTAGCGTGCGAGACAGCATTAACAGATACCTGTAACCGTCACGGATTATTTCAGGGATTTATGTCAAATCAACCCATTTGCGGAAATAAAAGTAATAATCAACATTTGCATTACGATTGCGATTACATATTCTGCTCTTTCGCCATTTTGTATTCTTTAAGTTTTTAATTGTGTTCTATTGTTTTTAACAATTTGCCGCTTTAATAACACACGATACCAAGTTTCCTTGTATGCTGATATTATCTAGGAAGGTCCTCCTCCCGACTTCTGCGGTTAACCGCGTAGAAGTTGCTTTCAAAAAATGCGACCGCGACTAGATGAATCAGTGGATCGTGACTCATTCTATCAAAAAATGCCGGCATCGGGAAAGTGAGACGTGCGATGTAAAATCGGCGGGTACGCTGGGAATGAAACCAGATTGAAATATTGCTCGCAAATGTTGCACATTTCAGATTGTATTATATATCATTTGCGAGCAAGCGTGAATGTGAAGGAGCTCGGTATTTCTTACTCGAAAATTAGTCTTGAAGGAGTGCCTTAAATGGAACTAATAATGCTTAATAGGCTCCTTGCTATTATAAATTGATATCATTTTCCACGAGAAAAAAAAGATAGAATCTCGCAAGCTCTCGATACCCGTGCATCGACGAAGGCATTTTAATGACGGCTTATCGATGGCTTATTACACAGAATGTTACACATATGAGCCTGATTATTTTCCCTCGATTTTTCCCTGTTTTCAAGAAACTTGCGTTTACGTTTCTCCGCGGTTCTTTTAAACGCCCGAAGTCGGGATAAATTGAGCAATGCCAAATAATCGATAGAAAACGTATCGATAGTCGATAGTAAGAAGCCGCACGTTAATTATCTTTCATCATAATAAAGACAATATTATTCAAATCTACGATGGAACATCGGAACCTCCAAGTAAGATGTTATCGTAACATCGTCATTTTTTTATAGTATGAACTGTTCCTACTACAAATATGTATTATAATTGCATATCGTTTCAGAAGGAATTTAACTTGATCGGATTATAAAAACAATGTTTGAAAATTTGTAAAAGTTAAGATAAGCGGTACATAATTGGAACTGCCCTGACAGGGATTTTAACGGTCGAATGGCCAACGGTGCTGCGGTACCCTGTTGCAAATAGCACACCATTAGCCTCCGTATGAGACGGGCGTAATGTTATACATTATGCTCTAATGACTACGTGCGGATTGCTGCTGAGCATAAGTACGCGAGTCCGTTGTTCTCTTTTACCCGATCATCATGCTAAAGACACAAGTGCACTCTTCAATGGCAGCTTTCAACGTTCGACGTAATCTAATTAATATAAAACTAAGAACAAAATTTTGCAAAAGTCCACCTAGATGTTTTCCAACAAATATTCGGGAAGATCTTTGGCACAAGTAAAATTTAATCGAAGTAATATCTTTGCAAGATACACTATAATACTCGATGTTATTTAACTGTAGTTTTACTTTCATCTGTCAAATATAAATTCCTTTGTAAGTAACTTCCTTTGTTACGTTAACGTTATCTCAACTAATTTCATTTATATAAAAACATTCTTTCGTGTATTTGTTTTAAGTTACTTAAGAAATTTTCACCAAATTTCAATTGAAAACTGGCAGCTACTTATATTTTTTCAGAACTACATTCGATATAAACGTAATATCAATTAAGATGATATAAAAGTTGGAATATTATAGGAAACACAAAGTAGTCCTCAATTTGAAACTGTCAATCTTTTTTTCGTCGAAAGATGAACGTGCTGCAACAATTCGTCAGACGTGAACATAATCGTGATAAAGCGCATCTTAACTAAGTAACGAGCAATGAAGACAAATGAGTAACCGCTATCACCTGCCCGTCCATGACATGCCTCCGAGGCGTCGTCATGGTGCAACTCGCATTTAATTAAGGTTAACGAGTGACGTAGTGAGCACGTAATTAAGAAGGAGAACGTAACTACTAACGTTTAACGTTGCCGTCTTCTCGCAATCAAATGCCATCCGATTTTTCTGCAAATCGCTTCTGTAATTAATTTCTCAGTTAATTCAACGCGCGCGTAGCCACCATTGTCACGACGTAATCATGATCGCGAGGTAACTGGGGATGAAATGCACGGGACAGGAAGGAGCCCGTTCTCACTGTCTCGTACTTATTATGAAAAATGACGTGGAACGTTCTCCTCTTTCCTTTTTTTTCCCCTCCCCTCGGCAGGCCCCTCGCGCGATTGCATCTTCCCGTCAACGAGAAATCACGAATGCGCATGCCAAATCTTTGAAGGGGACGATGACGGGACCTCTCGCGTCAACGTCTCTCTCGTTTATGCCTCGCGAAAGCGACGTGACGAGGAACGAGGTCCCTCCGGGCGATTTCGGACCGGCTCGTTTTCGCGGCGGCACGCCATCGCCCTTCCTCCTCTCGCGTTCGTCGTCGGGACATCCAGATTGTCCCACCGCGTGGCACCACGGAGGAGAGATTCGGCGGCCACTGCGAGAACCAGCGCGATGCATTCCAATGCAAATATCTCTCGCCCTGGGGACACGACGTAATCGCCGCAATTTCATGCTTCTCAGAAATTCAACCTGCTCGTCTTACATTTTCTCTCCTACGATCCTCTCCGCACCCCAGCGCGCTCTTGCCTCGCGCCCCCCTCCCCTCCCTCCCGACGCCCAGTACTTGATAACTCACCCTCGAGTACTTTGAAGCGCCTCAATATTTCATTGCCGATCGGGAAGGAATAACAGAATCGTAAGTGGTTCGTAATGAAGGGTATATTTATAGCTCTCTCGTAATGATGGATGGAACCGCGCGACTTTATAAATCACGTTCGAAATGATATATCGATCTCTCTATTCTTTCTATTATTCTTTCTATTCTTGAAGGAAGAAAACATTTTTAAGTGGAGGTAATCACTTTAAGAAAGCTGCTCAAGAAAGATTCTATAGGCTATAAATTATGCAATGCACCAGCGGGAGACGAGGATATCAAGTTTCAGCTTGTCATCGGGTCGGTTTTAGCACCTGTTAAACGCTTTGTTTACTCGTCAAGATGTTCATAAGACGACAAAGATGACTGCTAAAATTTTCAATAATTTTTCCAGTTTATACATTCGTGAGATCGTGGTAACTGCAACCATTTTTTTCCGTCAGTGCAGTTAGGTAAAAGAGGAATGTAAATTGCGATTTGGCAACTGTATCTTCTCCTTGAAACGCAGGACAAGATTCTCGACCGAAATAGCTTCTGCCACACGTCCGCCAAAGTATACGTTTATCTCCACGAGGATATTTCTCACGACGGATCTCTTTATTCCAGGGTGGTCGGTGCGGTGGTGGTCGGCGCGGCTGTCTGCAGTCGCATCCCTGGATTGGCGAAAAGTCAGCGCGAGCAGTGCAGAAAGGCGCCGCACGCGATGCCGGCGGTGGGCGAGGGCGCCGCGCTGGGTCTGCGCGAGTGCCGGCACCAGTTCCGACATCACCGTTGGAACTGTTCCCACGTGTCCAACGATCAGGTCTTCGGCCACGTGGTGGTAGTGGGTAAGGATTGTTCTGTCACCGGCGCTCGGTATTTATTACGCCGCGCAATATATCACGGATGTTACATACGTTGTAGCCCGTACTCCTCGCTCCGCGAAAGGACTTGCCTGCCGCGCAGAGTGGTAGGTAGCGGGGTGAAACTGCGCAGTTAACGTCCCAACGTGTCCGCGATGGAAATACAGGGTAATAGAAAATGTAAGAAAGAAAAGTTTGGACATGAGAATCCACTGCTTGTAAACGCGCGCGTAAAGTCGTATAGCTTACTACCTGTTAGGTACCAGTAAGTCGCATGTGTGTAGGAATATCCTCAATATGCCGCGAGTTAAAGAAGACGCATGGCTGTTACATCATTCCCACATTCTATTAGGCTCGCACTTGTATCGCGCTAATGATCTTTTCATTAATATCCCCGTGCTTTATTGCCGATTTATACATTTACATTCTAAGCGGTCGATTCTCCCTAATTATCGAAGATTCAGTGATTAAAGATACGACTTCGGAGCCAAATTAATAAACCGTCCATATACTTAATCGTGAAAATTATTAGTCTCGTATAGTTGATTGAATAATTGATCAGCGATTGTATATCTTAATTCTTTCAACCATCCTCTGTTAACAAATCGATACGCGTATTTCATGCATAAATGTTGATGTAGCTTATAATTTCGTAATTTTCGATGATACAAGAATTTAATATCGAACGACAAGCCGCGCGTAGTGGCAGGTCGGCTCGATGACAAACGGCGAGAGCGATATTTTTCGAGGACAAGATAATCCCTGATCTTGTGAGCGGAAGCTAATGCGTGATCCAAAAATATTGTTAAATACGACACATTTATCACCTCGGCATTAAAAACTATAAATGCGAGTCGAAAGGATAAATGTCCCACGGAGAGACATCAGTCGGTTTTGTACAGCGTGTTACATCAAGAAGCGTGTTACATCGGAGCCCGTGAAACATTTTTAAGACGGTGGAAAGATCTCTACAAGTGAGAGGAAAAATCGCCATTTGGAAAGAAAGTTAGCTGCTACGATATAATTTTTTGGTGCTCGAAACATTTTTATGTAATTTCTTTTCTATTTCTACTAAAGAAATCTCTTGATGTGAAACATCCTGTATAGGAAGGACAGCAGATGTAACGGTGTGACGTTTCGTAGTGGTGCAAGTCAGCTATTTTTCATGATTAACCGAACGGATTAAACCGCCGAGGTGGAAGAATCAAAGGAGCTCGGTAAACACGGCGTGATTTATAATGCGCAACGAGATGATCGTACTTTGTTATCCGTTATCTTGTTGCTATTGTACGAGCATCGTCCGTCATCATCGAAAGACTTCTGGAATTCCACGCTGAATAAGACGTGCATATAATGGCATCGTAGAATCCCTCAAGAAGGAGAGAGAGATTACAAAAGAACACCGCACGATTGCGTGCAAGCATTTGCATAAGTCACGAATATACGGATGTGACAATTAATTACGAGTTTAGCATTTTAATTGGTGGTGATTATTAGAATTTTATTCAAATTTACACGAGACGGAGTGCGTAATTTTTGTAGACGTGACATCCGCGTCGCGAAAATACGGGTGAGTATTTATTAAAAAATATTGTGCTGCTGTCACATCTGTCGAGTCGATAATATCGTAGAATTTAAACTCGAAGAAAACTCGCGCGGAATGTTTTTTAAAACAGCGAAAACGTTTACGTACTGGCTCGGCGACATGGACGCAAGGCAGAGAAGGAAAATAAGCGGCGACGTCGAGGAAGTCAGACGAGAAATAAGAAGACCAAAAATTAATGCGCAAAAAAAGTATAAATAACGCTTATAAGAGACAGTGGGAGAGAGGATGCGAGATGGAACAAGCAGGGCGGTCGGTCGCTAACTTAATTAGTAAAATTAACGAGGCCGCTCGACATGCCAAAGCTAACTGCAGCGATATGCTTGAAAATATTTCCCCGCTCTTAAAACGTTCGCATTATGCGTTCAGGATAATCCGCGAGCGTACGTGTAAAAGTGGAATACTTTCGAATTAAACAAAGCATGATAAAACCTCATCAAGCGAAATTGTCGAACGATATACAGGCAGGACATGGCCTGTGGAACTATTTAAGTGTTCAATATCGCTTATTAAAAAAAAACTAAGTGGAATAAGTTCTGTATATAAAGTATACAGATTTCTTTAGATAATGTTGATTAATCTATTATACATTAAAAGAGACGCCTTCAGAGGCAAAGTTTAAATATTTCTAAAATACATGAATCCATGTCGGTTTTTTCTCCACCGACGTTTCAATTACACGTGTTAAATGTTAGCAATCTAATAGATACAATTGTAATTGAATATAATTTATGGACGCATCGATCTTCGTCGATTTGAAAACTCATTACAGAAGCTGCGACGCTACTCAAAGCCGATCCTAGATTTCGTGACCCACTCCTGAATGAATTTTACCGGCGAATATATTTTCATAAATTAGGCAGATTTATTCGGGAGAGACTTTTCAAGATTCGAGAAAACGTGGGCGGCGATCGTCTAATCGCCTAAATGAAACGACGTAATTAAGAGATCCATTACGTGGACGATGAACCATATATTATCCGTTGTAAATTTAATCGAGAATAGGACGTCGTTCCTGACCCACCGATGTCATCACGAGATATTACATAGGGATTCTCCCCCTCTTTTCTCTTCTCTCTCTTTTTCTTTCTCTCATTTATTCTTTCAACAACGTCCAAAAAGAACCCTCCCAGCCGGTTATAGTGGAGAAAATCTCCGAAAAATCGTTATCTCGTCACACTATCGTCCTTATCAGCGAATAATTCCATGCAATTCGTAAGAGGGCTAATATTGTTCCACGCATGACAACGTTAACGGCGTAGCATACGAGCGATAAGCGAAGGCGGGAGAATAAAGGTCGAGTGCGAGAGAGCTAAAGTTCACACGAAACACCGCGAATGTATCCTTTTCCCTACTTCCCCTTCTTCACCCCCGCCCAATCAGACCTTGGATACAACATTGGCGAAGATATTGCATTAATGTAGCGTCCTATCAATTTCTGTTGCAAGTCCTTCTCCCTCCTCTTCATCCTTCCGCACACTTATATCCGCTCTCGCGCTCTTGTATGCGCCTTTTCTTATTTTTTTCCACGTTCTTATCCGTCTCAAATAACTGGACTGGCCCACACTCGGCGCTCTGGCACGGACACACCTACCTACCTGCGTCTACCTGCCTTTACCTGTCTTTACCTGCCTGCTCGCTCGCCCGCTTGCCTACCTTCTTACCTGCCTGCCTGCCCGCTTGTCTGCCTGCCGGCCTGCGGTTCCTCCCCTGGTGCACAGTTGATGCATTCATTCTCCTGTTCCGCGTCGATGTATACTCATATTGAGCCATATCGCGTCCGATGACCGTGCGAAATGGCGCACATGTCGGGTTCGACACACATTCGCGCGTATATGTACGAGGTAACGAGGGTGCAAGCAATAGAAGGACGATTCCTTCGTATGAAAGGATGCTGAAGCAGCAAAGTCAATTCTTTACTTTGTTTTGAAGAACATCAACAGTTTCCAACATTGAGAAATCAATAAAATCTTGTATCGAGCACTTGAGTTATCTTCGCTTATTTTTAATAACAGGAGAAAAATTGAATGTACGGTTTTGCGGCTTCGATAAACGCGCGCGAATGTACATGCGATGTACTTGGCCGTTATTTTGTACATCGCATTTGTACGTATCGATTAACTAGCTTTCACAATCGAGTGGTAGATAATACTGAGAGCTCAATATAATTATATCGCGCGGCAACGTGAGTCGATCTATCTACGTCAACGTTATCTTACCACTAATTTGCTCCGTAGATTGTTTGAGAATTTGCCGGCTTGCAGGAACGTCCACGAGAAGTAAAAGCTACATGTATGTATCTACCGTCCAGTAAAATAATTAGATTAGATAATGCGTGCGACCGTCTGCGAAGGAACCACCGAGAGAAGAGAGTCATTCTCAGGAATTTACGGTCGATACTGCCGCGACATTTCTCGTGATATCCTTCGGTCATTCAGTATTCGTGGAAGTGATACTTATTCAAAATCAAATTACGTATTCGAGTCTGTTTAAAGTAATCACGAGACCGCGATCGGATCCTACACTTACGTTTTGCATTCGACCGTGCGCGATTACGTTTCGAGTAAACTTGAACGTCGCACGCACAAGTGTAGCCACCTGTAATTTGCCTGTCATCAGCAACCTCGGTCGTGTTCGCGTAGATTTGCAATAGTCATCGGCTATCAGATACACGGTTGTGTGGAAAGACGCGAGACGAATTCCCACGTAAGACTAGATGGGGAGTCGCTTCCCCATTACTATCATCCGGGCTAGTGCTTGGCGTTGATTTATTTGCCAAGGGCAAAGGAGCGTAGGTGCGGCGGGATGACGAACGGGATCGATATAATTCAGTGTATTTTAGTGTAGAAAAGTGCCAACGGGCAACCGGCACGGCGGATCCCGGTACGGATTGAGTTATGGACCGGTGCGCCGGGGTGCTCGCTCTCGAGTCCCCAGAGGCTCTCACCGTCTCTGTGGGTATAAGATCTCTTTAAACCCCCGTATAAAAATAAACTAGTTAATAAATTAATATATCGCCGGCCCGTATCTCTTTCCCCGTTGACCGCTGCTGTGGACAAGTGCCTCTGCGAAAATCGCCAACGAGTCGGCCGGGGCCATTAATAATGATGCGCAAGTGAGTCGAGGGATAGGGAGAAGAGAAGAGAGAGAGAGAGAGAGAGAGAGAGAGAGAGAGAGAGAGAGAGAGAGAGAGAGAGAGAGATAGCGAGCGGAGGAGAGGGAGGGAAGCAAGACGATGAACTCGCGCAGATTGTCGTTGCTGCCCTTCTTATTAAGATGTAACCGGTCATCGGGAACCGTGTACGATAAGTACCTTCCGAGAAAACGCTCCAAGAGAGCGGCGGTTATGAGATTATTTTTTTCGGCTCTTCCGATAACAGGT